CTAAACCAAACAGGAGCTTTCACTGGGTGCTCTCTGATGGGGGATTTCTTAACCAGTATGCTACAACTTAGAAGACATAGTCTCTAGCCACCAGTCATCTTGCTTCATATTTTACTTTGTATCTCAGGACTGAGTACCAGAGATTTACTTTTACAAAAATAAATTAAAAGGAAGGACATCCGGTAGTGCAGAGTACCCTACACACACACACACACACACACACACACACACACACACACACACACACTCTCTCTCTCTCTCTCTCTCTCTCTCTCTCTCTCTCTCTCTCTCTCAGTTTTTTGAACTTCTGAACTCAGAAGGTAGTTTATATTGATTCTCAAGCTAGTTTATATTGTTGATAAATGCTATACAGTGCAGTTCAAATTTCAGCCACCTGCATTCTCCTCCATTCATAGTTTAAATAATAAAGAAAAACATGATTCAGCATGTGCCTTTTCTTTTCAGCAGCCTGCGTGTCTTAAGGAGACTCTAGCACCCTTTGGACAATTAAAGAAGTTATCCAACCAGACTTCAAAAGCTGCATATTGGGTTCACTGACCTTGTGTACTTACTTCACTGCCTTTAGTCATCTCACAGAAATATATTGAATTTCTAAAGGGAGACCAGTTCTGAGAGAGGAAAGGTTTTTCAGCAGCTGTCTTCAAGGACTCTTCAGCACACATATCTGCATGTCCTACTTAGATTTGAGTACGTTGGTTTGTGTCAAATGTCAGAGGGCATATTTGGCCTGAGGGTTAATACGGAGTTTGAGTTAACTCGAGCTCTGATCACTGGATGTTTTGACACAAGGATGTCCTTAAATTTTTAAACACCTCAGAAGGTTTCTTATTAATAGTATGCATTTGTACACAGAAACAAATCAGTCTCCTTGTATTTGGAAGAGGATGACCCTTCCACCTTGCTGTTTCGTAATGCTCTCTGATAATATCCTTGTTGTTTCTGTCTCTTATAAGGATGATAACGTATGTTTCTCTTTCACTGATTTTTGCATTTTTTCACAGCATATTCATTCTACCCTGCATAACTTTGTGTGTTTAAGTGTGGTTTTAAAAAGCACAATAAAATTAGTATGCAATTTTATGCAGTTTTCCTTAATATATGCATTTTTCTCAACCTCCTTCCCCTAATCTATGCATTTTGTACATCTTTTGCACCCATTTGGTATTGGAGAACTGAACCAGAAAGTGTGAAGACCGAAGAATTGCATTTAATGTTGCATATTAATTTGGGAAGTTCAGGAATTAGGTTGATTCATATTAAAATTCAAACCAGGCAAATTTCAGTACTGCCCTAGTCTCTTGTTCTTCCCCCACCTTTTATATAAAATGTTTTGAGAAAAATAAGTTTCCCCTTTCTCTCCTGAGCTGTATACTTTCCTTGTAGTCACTATAGTCATGACTTTGTATTCTTTTTGACACGAGGCTAAAACCTTTTTATTTACACATTATTTTAAAAGCTGATTAGGTTTTTAATGTATGATTTTATTACTGGATGCTGTGCTTTATTTATCTTTTTATTGTAAGACCATCCCAAGACAGTAGCAGTCAGACAGTATACAAAAATCTTAAATAAATAAATATAGAAGATTGGTAGGAAAAGAAGGGCAATGAGGACAAAATGGGTGCTTATTAGATGATACTTTGGATTTGTGTAAAATGAACATTAACTGTTATGTCTGTGAGAAGTCATGTCTTCATGAGAGTTTACAGTTTGGTACTTAAATTGTTTTGCATGTCAGGTGCACTGAATTATAATGTGGCAATAACAGAAAATAGCATACATTCTTCCTTGGGTGGTCCAACAGTTTTGGCTTTGTTACTGGTGACATCTGCATGGCAGATAGACTATGGAAGACACTTAAGTATGGAGTTAATTTTGTTCAGTTCACATTTTGATAACAAGTTTACCAAATTTACACTTCCTGAATAAATGTATGAACTGTAATTTTATGTTCCTGTAGTATTCACATTTTTCAAAAATGTGAAAACTGCACAGAATCCATATAATGGTAGAGGGAGACAATGTTGTCACAAAGAGAAACAAAATGTAAATAATGTGTGCATTAGGCAAAGAGTTGATACTTTGGAAAATGTGCATGAAATTCATATCAGTTCCATGCAGCTAAAAGTCTCTTTGCTTTGTTTCTTTTTTGCTTTTAACACATGAAAATAGGACAGAATGAGAAAAAGAAGTAATCAAAATGGATAGAGTCATCCTTTCCTAGCAAATATGCATTTGAAACTGTGAAGGGAGTGAGTGAAGAAAACTTGGGCAGGGAATTATTGCTATTTTTATGTTTGTGTTGTTTTTAACATTTTTATTCTGAAAGATGGATTAGACTATATTATGAGTGAAATTATGTTACAAGGTTTATAAGCCCCCAAACTTGGAACCTGACAAATGGCCTATACTGGGCTGGTGGAGTGTCAGGGCTTTGCTTTCCTGTTGCCTTATACTGTGACTGGTAAGACTAGACATTTTAGAGAGGACGGCAAAGAAGTTGCAGTGGCCCTAAGACAACATGTAGCTTGGCCTCTCCAGTCGCCATCATTCCTTACCTGCCAAAATGCTTCTTTCCTCTTCTCTCAGAAGTTGCTTTCTCAGCCTGAGAGAGCTACTGATGTGGTTGTTTCCATGCAGGGTGTGAGCCAGAGTGGATTGCAGCTCCAGTTCCCAGCTTTGAAAATCAAGTCCATCAAACCTGTATTTCCCTCTCCCCTTCCAGGCAGATCCAGGCAATGCCTTATTAACTAAAAGCTTTATTAAGTTAATGCAAACCCATTAGAACAGTTTAAAATCACAAATGAAGTGCAGATGCCAATAAGAAAGAAGCTCAGTTAGAATACTAACAGTTATAAATTAGTGAGAAGTTGATTCTCCTCCCTTCCAAATTCAAATAGCTAATGCACCTCTCAAAGGTGGGTCCTGACTCCTGAAGGACAATCATGTGAAGCACCTGGCACTGCCTAGCTGGTCTACCTCTTGGGGTGATGCCATGCCAGGGGATTAGTGATGGCTGAGCCACCCTGCTCCTCATTAACAGGCTCAGTCTGTCTTCCCATGGTGACTGCAGATGCATGAGTCTCAACTATTGCCCAGCTCATCAGCTGCATATGCCAGCCTTCCTCCTCTGAGTCAGAATCTACTACCAGTTCACTCAAAGACTCCTTTGCAAAAGAAATCTGCCCAGTTCTATAGCGTGTTGTCTCCAACCTTGGACACGGAAGTATCCCATTGGCCCTCAGGATGTATTTCTCCATAAATATTGTGGAATGGAGAAATGACAGGCAGAAAGGTTAATCTTACCCCATCTCTTTAGCCACTTCTCCATTATGAATTGTCATATCAGTCTGCTGTCATCTGCAGATATGTATAATGTGTGGTTTTGCCTTAGGTTTTCACATTTTATGTCTGGATCTTACTGCCTTTTATGTGGTTTGTTTGTCATCTGCCAACATGTATATTTTTAAAGCACTTTTACCCCACTCTTGAGCCTAAAGGATTCCTGAGTAGGTTAAAGTTAATAAAAACAAGACAGCCACTTCTTTTAGGCCTACAATCTAAAAGACATGACACAAAATGAAGAAAAAGGATGGAGAGGGAAGATGAAAACAAGTAAAATCGAGCACCCATTTTTAGACTTGCAACCTTCTTGTAAGAAACAGTAGCTAAGAGAGAGGAGGAATTAAATGGAGCTTGAGTTTCAGCAAAGCTGATGGAATGGCCTGCTTATTCAGTTGATGTATTACTAAAATGTATTGGACATCTCACTCTATAACTAAATGTACAAAACACACAGAAATAAAATCCAAAAATCATATGAATTAAATCAAAAGCAGCATAGCAAAATAATTAAAAACAGTAATTGGTTAAAAGCAACAGAGACCACATAGGCATCATTACAAGAATATCTTAAAATATCACAAACATAATGCCACCAAACAGAGGAATGCGCAGAGGATTAAAAGTCTTGTAAAAATAAGACTTGTTGCTTCATGCCTAAAAGAGAAAAAACTTAAGTAGGCAGCTGGGAGAACTGTCTGGGGAGGATATTCCTTTCATAGGAAACTGGAAAGGTCCATTCTTAAGTAGCCACTTGTCATAATTTGCATGTTCAGGGACTTGAACAAGGTCTCTGGTTTTGATCTCAGGAACTCTGTAAGAATATATGGAAATGCTTTACATTCAATAGCCCTAAGCCCTTAAGGGCTTGTCCCTGCTGTAGTCTGATGGACTGGCTACAGCCAGATAATAGGAGAAGCGTGATGGAGCTGGTTCTCAGGAGATCCATAGGAGTGGCCCTGCTTCCTTCCCATTTCCTCCCTGACTGGCTATGCTCAAATTATCAGTGATAGGCCAAATCCTTAAATTGTCATTAATCCTTGTTCAGTTTACTCTGCTTATGAATGCATATGCTTTTCTGAATAAATCCTACTGGTTTACATAATATATACTTGTGCAGGAGGAGTTGTGACATGGAAAAGCATGTAGTGATACGGATTTGAGAAGCCATGAAAGTACCCTATTCTGTTGTAGACATCATTTTGTAAAAGAAACCAGAAGCAGTGACCTTAGAAATACATTTTCTTTCTATGTGTTTGGTCTTTACCCTGTTAACAATCTCACATTACAATCTCTTGGGGGTTTTCCCCCAGCATTTCAGCATTCTTACATAAAAGATGCTTGAGTGTCTGAGTGTCATAATAGTATCAAAACAGATGCTGATCCTGCGTGATCGTATAGGTTCTGAAAAGCCACAGTAGGAACTTCCTGGTTCATGTACGCTGTAACCAGGCTCATAATATTCAACAATTTGCAAGTGTTAATTCCGTTCTATTTGCATTTCCTTTTAAAATGTAACTTTAAGGGTTAATATTGGTTTTTGAGAAACAAAAGATTTGCATTTTACTGCTTCTATCAGCCTGGTTCATGTTTTGGATATTTCTTGCTTAGATATATTCTGCTTTTTTCTTTTTTAGCACCACCAAAGTTTACAAGAACACCCGTTGACCAGACAGGGGTCTCTGGGGGAGTCGCATCATTCATCTGCCAGGCTACGGGAGACCCAAGACCTAAAATTGTCTGGAACAAAAAGGGCAAGAAAGTCAGCAATCAGAGATTTGAGGTATTAGGTCCATTGTTCTGTTCCTCTGAAAACATTTACTTCAATTTTGCTTAATTATTCCCTATTGCTTCTGAACAATTATTTTAAAGCAGCAATATTGATGTTCACAGTGGTGTAGCACAATAAAATTATTCATGTCAGTTGAATTTCTCCTGAAAGAGGCCTTTCAGTTCATCAGGCAACCCTTGCCTACAAAAGCATTGACCAGACTGTGACTGAGATGGGCAATGAACTTTTAGCATTTCCCTGCTCTCCATGTGTTCTAATAGCTTCTGTGGCCTCTGAGTGAAATACAGAGATATGCCTTACACTTCCCAGAACCAACAGCAGTAAATGCTATGTAGAATTGGAGCCATGCTTTTAGGAAGGTACCAAGGTAGATTATTCCAGCACCTTTGAACACTAGCTTCTCTCAGAAGGGAGGGAGATCTCTGAGGTTTATCTTAAAGAGCAGCAATAACTGAAGTGGTGATATCACTAATATTAGTGATAGCCGAATAATACGGTGTCAGTTCAGTCCACCATGGTTATTTTTGTGTGTGCATGCTGCTCCATGCACTCCAACTCTTATTTCCCTCTTAATGTTAGCAGTATGAAAAACAGCGTACATGGGAGAACATGTTGCATGTCTCCTATGCCATTCATAAAGCAGAACAGAATTGGATCCTGTGCATTTACATTAGTCACACTGGTATTTAGGAAGTTCTTATTTCTTTTCAAACTATTAAAAAAAAAAGAATCTACAGACAATACTGTAAAAGGTTACAGATAAATCTCAAATTGAAAATAGATGGTATGTTCTAATCTCATGGTTCCTGGTCAGTAGGATACCCTTTTGACACCTAAGTAATGAATTGTTGAGCAACCAGATCGTTGCTCTTGCCATTTTGTGCTGTGCTGTGGCCTTGTGCACCATTCCAATGGAAGTGTTTACTGCAAAGTTTCACATGTTCAGCTAATATCCTTCCCAGTGGCCATACTAGGATTGGGTTAAGCAGTAAGTCATGGATTTTGATTGTAATACTTGATTTCTTTTAAAATAATTGAATTTTATTTTAAAATCAATAATTATTTTTTACGTCATATCCACTTTAGTCTGTCTCCTTTTAAGCCAAGGATTTCAAGCCTCTTTCAGTTTGATGGCCAAATTCAATTTCAGAAAAGATTTTCAAACTGTATTCCATTGGTAGGCAGGGCCAAGGCAAATAGGATGGAACCAGAATACCAAGAAACAAAAAGTTAATAGGAAAAAATAGAATATGAAAAAAAACTGAGCAGATGCTGGGAACCCACCTCATGTGAGGGAAAAGGGACATGGAGAACTGAGGAAGTAGTAGCTGTATTAGGACCCCAGGCAGAAGGGATTTGACCCATGGAAATTAAATGCTACTGTTTTAAGTATTTTCCTGAGATGAAAATGTACTGTTTCCCAAAATTTACTACTTGTTAAAAACCCGATGATTTTCTATGCTTGATAATTTAATTTATATTCACTGATATTTGTTAACAGTAATTTTTGCTGGCACTTATCAAAGCACATTAAATAAGGAGTGACATATAAAGCCCTTATTTTATTCTGGATGTTTAAAGGTAAAATGTCTGGTAGCCAAAGAAAAGCAGCAGTACATTTATTTATGTATGTATGTATGTATGTATGTACTCCCTTTTTTATGTACCATCCTTCTACCCACATATGAAAAATGCTCAATATGTATATTATTTGCTGCAAAAAAAAAATCAGGAATTTCATAATGGACCAGCAATATTTAGTGGGATGAGGCAGAACACATGAATATGTATACCAATATCTGGAAGCCCCGGTTCTGCCTGTATGGGCATTTTGCCATTCACGTCAGTGTGAAGAGTTCTACATGCACACCAACCTGATTCCATAGATAGCACTACATATATTAAAATAATTAAAAATCTACATTTTATGCAGGAGTTCTGCATACACACTGGAGTCTGGAAAAGATTTGACTCAGGATGTATTACTTTATAAGTCTTGTGATTCTCTTTTTTATGAAAAATATTACATGTGCTTTTGATCGTAAATCATGCTCATCTGTTTCAGTATACTGTTACCATGAATATGATACCCCATTATATTAATGCTCCTATTATGGTTGCTATTATGTTGTTATTCTTATGAGTCAGTATTATTAATTCTGAAGCAGAATTGAATACTCCTGTAGTATATTGTTAGGCACTGGATATAAATTGAACATATGCCTTAGAGAGAATTGGCAGGTCTCGCAGAATAAGCAGGTAGAAGAAAATATGTAACAGCAACTAGTAATTCAAGATAACTGATACTTCTACCTGTCATGATACTGTCTACTCATAGCAGGTGGAATACAGACACAGCGGGGGAGGAACCTGATGGATTAGGATCTTCAATGGTGCAAGCCCCAGAGCATGCTGAACTACCAAGTTCAGGCATTGTCACCAAGCCCCTGACAGCCTGAACACATTTAAGCCAGAGACCCCAAATTAGAATTCCTGGGACAGTATGTCCTCAACCAGATTCTGCTCAAGAACTCCCTCTCTCTCTGTTTCCACAGCTCTCACTTTCCATAGTGGCTGCTTGCCAGTGCAGGCAACGTCACTGACTGAGGGACAAAGATGAACTAGGTTGTAGGCCAAAGGACTATTCTAAGACTTTCTATTCTTCAGGAAGAGACTGGAGGCTGGGATGGATACTTTAGAGCAAACTGAGACTTTAGACCTTCAGCTAAAGTTTAGTGGAACAAGTCAGCATTGTGTGATCTGTCACACTGAGCCACCTTCAGGTGTTTGTTATGCCTCCTGGACTGCTGTTCGTGATTGGGAAAGGGCCCAGCCATTCCTTGGTTATTGATGCAAGGCAATGCTACCACCACTCTGCCTTGTTTTATAGGACAGCGTCTGTCTCAGTGAAGCATCCGGTCTATCCCTTACTGATGAATAACACAAGTCAGGGAGCAGCATAGACACAAAAGTATTTTTAATTGTTTGAGTGTTTTGTTTTTGTTACATTTTTGTTATATACGACCTTAAATGAAGAAGGGAAAGGTGAAAAGAGGATTTTGCCCTTACCCCCTTTTTTCCACTGGTTAACAAAGATCTCTGCATAGCAGCAGCTGAATGGCCAAAGATCTCTTGCTGGATTGGGAGCCTTTGGCCGTCATAGGATGTTCTTCAAAATGGCCAGCCACGTGTTGATGTTGTCTGTCTGTTATGTGCATTCCAGTCTGCATTCCTTTGGAAGTGAATCAAAAAAGATAGACCAAATGTGCATCTGCATCCCATCAAACATACAGTTTCTTAAGCTGTGAAAGATCACACACACTGAGACCCACCCAGCTTTCCACTGCACTGTGGGCATTAAAACTATGAGAGAGAGACTCATTTTCCAGTGCAAAATTCTGCAGGGAATTGGGCAGGATTTTATGTCAGGAAGTGGGTTCAGTGTGCATATTCTCAGAGGATAATCCCCCCACCCCCCTCTTCCACAGTCATTTAAATTGTACCAACATGCTGCTTCTACAATTGGGCTGCAGTTTTTATTTAAAATATTCTGCTTTTAGTTTTTATTTCTAAAAACTAAAAACTAAACATATTTCTATATATGTGCTGTCTAAAGAATATTTTCCACCTCTACAATTTTAGATGAAAAACTTATGAGAGGCTAAAAAGATCTCCTCATCCTGGGAATGTTTTACTCATGTTGCTTTAAACCATCCACTCCTTTGAACTGGCTTTTACATCCACCTATGTTTGAGATGCACTGAATTCTTTTTTTATTTCACCATCTCTTTTGAATCCGTCAAATGACAGAGGCAAACTCTGGCATCTCCTAATTTTGAAGTGAACATAAATTAGTTTCTGCTAGAAGTTAGAGACAGTGAATTGGAATCAAACACTGTTTGATAAAGGAAAGATACAAGGATAGAAGCAGTGTTTGGTATGAAGCATTGTCCAGTTCTTGAAGCCTCTAGAGATTTAAGCTGTCCTTACTCTACTGTCCTAGTTTAAATGTACCTGGTATCTAGAAAATGGGGAGAGGGAACCCTCTTGTAAAAAAACTCTTAAAAAGTTTGCAATCCATTGCAGTTGTGGATAAATGAACTGCTTTAGATTGCAATATGATAGGATGACTGAGTTGATGATCCTCATAGACTAAATCTGTCACTATGGTTTGGTTTGCATAATCACCCAGCTGACCAGGGCTTGTCCTGTCCTCTGCACCTGAGCAGTATTGCTTGCTTGAGGGGTAAATCATTCTCAAATAACCAAGAACAACTTGTGGATTATTTGAGGGTTATTTTCCCCTTCAACAAGCCTTGGTGCCCCAATTTGGATGACAGAAGTTTGATTATACAAATTGTATTTAATAAATTTCACAGCTTAAAAAAGGCACTGTGGCTTGTTCAGCCTATGATGATCGTCTGAAGTCATTCAGACTTCAGAAGGGCACTGACTTCCCAGATAAAATTTTTTATTTGTCATGAGGCTTTCCTGTCACTGTTGCTAACCAAATTATCACAATGTTGACAAGAGGCCAGTATTGATGTGATAGTTACATAAATTACTCAAAACCTGTACACAAATCAGAACACAGATACTACATCTGTGCTTTTCTGAAGTTTCTTATCACGGTTTGTATATTAAAATTTATATAAAATGCAAGTAGTTCAGAATTCAGATTTTATGTTTTACATTGGTGTGAAAACAATTGACTTTGTCATTATAAGAGTATATACAGCTGTCATGACTGGGTGATCATTCATTCTCAGTAACACATTGCTATCCCATTATGTTCTTTTCAAAGTAATTTTCTGTTTGGCTGGCCAACCACTATAAACAAAGTTAGTTGGATTTCAGAACTGCATGCTTTTCTGCAATTAAGTGCACTTAAAACACCTTAAACAGTGTTAGAAAAACCCAGCTGCTCCTAAATTTGCCCTTTCTTGCTTATAACATTGACCCTTAGTGTTAGAGGAATTTAGATATACCCAGGGTTAGCTGAGAGGTAGGCATTTGTAACAACACCTGTGACAGCTGTTGTTCCTTAAATAGGTAATAGAGTTTGATGATGGATCTGGATCAGTCCTCAGAATACAACCACTGCGGACTCCACGAGATGAAGCTATCTATGAATGTGTCGCTTCCAATAGTGTTGGAGAAATAAGCGTGTCTACAAGACTCACTGTGTTGCGGG